CTACTCCAACCTGGGTGATCAGAGTGAGAGACTCTGTCTCAAAAAAAAAAAAAAAACAAGGAATGAGCGATCATGTGCTTTGCAGGGACATGGATGAAGTTGTGAAAAGCCACATCCACAGCAAACATAATACAGGAACAGAAAAAAACCAAAACTTGCATGTTCTCACTCATAAGTGGGAGTTGAAAATAGAGAACACATGGGGGAGTCGGGGGCAAAAGGGGAGGGAGATCGTTTAGGGACAAATTAACCTAACGCATATGGGCATAAAAACCTAGATGCCGGGTTGATAGGTGCGCAAACCACCATGGCACATGTTTACCTATGTAATCAAAAACCTGGCAACATTCTGCACATGTATACCAGAACTTAAAAAAAAAAAATGTATACAGTGAGAGGTTCATATTATATTACTAGACAGAGAGAGCAGCTAGCTAGAGAAGCACTGATTCATATGAGATAAATCACATCTTAAAACATACAACACAGATTGAACTCCTTATTCTACTCTTTCCTTCTCATTACTGCACTTGAGTAGTCTAAAAGAAAAAAATAAAACATACAACAGAGAAGGATGTGGAAGGAGCTGGCGGCAGTTATCTCTAGGTGGGTAAGATTAAGAGTATTTTTTGGTGAGTTTTGTTTGTTTATATTTTTCTAGGGATTTTGAAGAGATTAGAACGAGAAGGATGGTGGAGATCAGAGGAAGGGGTAGGTGCACTAAAGAAAGGTGAGAATATTTAAAAGAACAGTATGAAAAAGCACAAAATATTTTGGAAAGGCAAGTGGTTCAGGGTGACTAATATAGAAAAAAGCATGAAAAGCAATGCAGGGGACGAAGTTAAACTATGTGCAACCATGCTGAGCCTTTAGAAATTACTGCTGGGGATACAGAGTTAATGAGGGTTAGAACCAATAGGACCATGTTTTTAAGAGATTTGGAAAGAAAACTCTTACCTGAGAATAAAACCAACTGGGGATAGAGCCTGACACAAGGAAAGCCAGTTAGGAGGCACTTACGACCATGGTTAAAGAGCCTGAACTACAGCAGCTGTAACAGAAAAAGGACTGATAGGGGAACTTTGGGCAGTAAGATAGATGGATTTGTGTTGGGTGAAGAAGAGGGAGGCTAAGCTTGATTCAGATGTCTCCAGTCTGGGAAATGAGATAGAGGATGGTAGCATTAACTGACATAACTAATACAAGAGAGGCACCTTCTTTTTTATTTGGTTGTTTGGAGGGAAAGTAAGATGAGTTGAATTTTGGATATGAACTTGAAATACCTATAAGTTATCTAAGTAGCAATGTCTAGAAACCAGTTGAGAATACAGGAGAATACAGGAATAAGTTCAGTAGATAGGCGGGGCCGGGTGCGGTGGCTCATGCCTGTAATCCCAGCACTTTGGGAGACTGAGGGGGGTGGATCATGAGGTCAGGAGTTTTAGACCATCCTGGCCAACATGGTGAAACCCCGTCTCTACTAAAAATACAAAAATTAGCTGGGCGTGGTGGTGCGTGCCTGTAATCCCAGCTACTCAGGAGGCTGAGGCAGGAGAACTGCTTGAACCTGGGAGGTGGAGGTTGCAGTGAGCCGAGATTTATTTTAAGTTTAAACCTCAGGAAAATAGTCCCTGACAGAAAAACAAACACATTTATTTTAAGTTCCAGGGCACAAGTGCAAGATGTGCAGGTTTGTTACATAGGTAAATATGTACCATGGCAACCTGCTGCACTATTTGCTGCACTTATCATTCCATCACCTAGGTATGAAGCCCAGCATGCATTAGCTATTTTTCCTGATGCTCTCCCTCCACTCGCCCCCCACAGGCCCCAGTGTGTTATTCCCCTGCCTGTGTCTAGCCTTGCATATTTTAAATGAATGCCAACATTTGTATCTATCCTTCCAAAAATACAGAGTAAGAAACATGGAAAGATATAAGACAACATAGTTGTGGAAAGGATAGCAGTGGAAAGACAAAGACTCGAAAAATAAAAAAGATTTTTTTATTTTGTTTTGAGACAAGGTCTCACTCTGTTGCTGAGGCTGAAGTGCACTGATCCGATAATGGCTCACTACACCCCTGACCTCCTGGGCTAAAGTGATCCCCTCATCTCAGCCTCCTGAGTGGTTGGGACTACAGGCATGCACCACCACACCTAGCTAATTTTAAAATTTTTTGTAGACATGGAGTCTCACTATGTTGCCCAGGCTGGTCTTGAATTCCTGGCCTCAAGCGATCCTCCTGCCTCAGCCTCCCAAAATGCTAGGAATATAGGTATGAGCCATTGTACCTGGATGAGATTTCTGATAAAAGAACACCAAGCACATTAAAGGTATCAAAGTAGTCAATGGTAATACTGTTTTATCTTTTAAGAAAAATCAATGGGGAATGGCAGTCACCAAAAGCTAGGGAGAGGGGAAAATGGGGGAGTTACTATTATTATTAATTTTTGAGACAGGATCTTGCTCTGTTGCCCAGGCTGGAGTGCAGTGGCACAATTACAGGTCATTGCAGCCTTAACCTCCTGAGATTAAGCAATCCTCCCCGCTCAGCCTCCTGAGTAGCTAGGACTACAGGTGTGTACCACAACACCCATCTCATTTTTTTTTTTTTTGTAGAGACTGGGTCTCCTTATGTTGCCTAGGTCGGCAGTTATTATTTAGTGGATATAGAGTTTCGGTTTTACAAGATGAAAAGAGTTCTGGAGACGGATGGTTGTGATAGTTGCACAACAGTGCCAATGTACTTAATGCCATTGAATAGCACACTTAAAAGTGGTTAAGATGGTAAATGTTATATGTATATCTTACCACAACAAAAAATATTAGGAACCCCTCGCCCAAAACAAATAAACAAAAAACCCAGGCTTTACAAAGCTAAATATAGTCTTTAACATACAATCCAGCAATTATGCTCTTAGGTATTTAACTGATGAGTTAGAACTTCATGTCCACACAAAAATCTATACATGAATGGTTATAGCAGCTTTGTTCATTACTGTCCAAAACCGGAAGCAACCACAATGTTTTTCCACAGGCAAATGCACAAACTGTACAAGTCCATGCAATGGAATATTATTCAGCAATAAAAATAAGCTAGCAAGCCACAAAAAGACATGGAGGAACCTTACAGGTACATTGCTAAGAGAAAGAATCCAGTTTGAAAGGGCTGTATACCATATGATTTCAGTTACACTACATTCTAGAAAAGGCAAAACTATGGAGATAATAAAAAGATCAGTGGTTGCCAGGGGTTGGGAGTTGGGAAGGATAAACAGGTGAACCACAGGTGATACTGAGGGCAGTGAAACTATTCTGTATAATACTGTAATAGTGGATACATGACATTACGCATTTGTCAAAACCCATAGAACTTCACAACATGAAGAGTGAACGCTAGTGTAAACCATGGTATTTAGTTAATAATACTGTGTCCCGTTGTTGGTTCATCAGTTATAGAGGACACTGTGTATGCTGCGGGGAGGGAGCATATAGGAACTCCCCATACTTCCCAATCAATGTTTCTGCAAACCTAAAACTGCTCTAAGAAATAAAGACTACTAATTAAAAAACACACAAAAACAGGCCGGGCACCTGTAATCCCAGCACTTTGGGAGGCCAAGGCGGGTAGATCACTCAAGATCAGGAGTGCAAGACCAGCCTGGGCAATATGATGAAACCCCATCTCTACTAAAAATACAAAAATTAGCTGGGTGTGGTGGCACGGGCCTGTGGTCCCAGATACTCTGGAGGCTGAGGCACAAGAACTGTTTGAACCCAGGGGACAGATGTTGCAGCCAGCTGAGACTGCGCCACCGTGCTGCAGCCTGGGCAACAAAGCAAAACTCTCTTAAAAAAAAAAAATTAAAACAAGAATCAATGGCGGGCTTAGTCAGTATTATCTAAAAGAATGATAGATACACATAAATCAAATAGAAAAAGCTGAAAGATCCAAAGTAGCAATGATCGATATGGAAAGTGAAAATGAAGAGTGACACAGTGAGAGCCTGAGCAGGAAGACCTACTGCTTTCTCAGGACAATGGTGATACCAACACACATACACAAACCATAAGTAGGAATAAGTAGACTGAAATGATAAAAACCCACTACTGTGAAGGCCAGTCACACAAGTGACAGAACAGTTTTGTTTTTAATAATCACCATTTACATAAATCCCACTATGCTTTAAACTCTGTACCTCCACCTACATCCACATATAATTTAACATAAAATCTTTCAATATTACAAAAATAGGTACCACTTAAAACATATTTTTTAGAACAACACTAACATTTAAAAAAAAAAATCAAACTTTGTTCTTACTTTATCTGGAATTCTTGATTTGGTGAATTTGTGACGAATCCAATCTGTACCAATAAGAGACTCCACACCTTTTGTCACCGTCTAAAATATGATATAAATCATTTGTTTTTTAGAATTCTACCTAGTACAGAAATCCATACCCACCAATCTTTAGGTAACAGAAGTCTGTTCCAACCTACCCTGTAATTATTAAAGGTATATCTTAGCACCCTAGCTGAGCGAATGCATCCCATCTAAGCGCTAACACAATACAAAGGTAAAAGCGCATAAATATACTTTTAGACCATGGATTGGTAACTGTTTTCTGTAAAGGACCAGATAGTAAACATTTCCAGCTCTAGAGCTATGTAGTCTCCATTGCCAAAACTCAGCTTGGCCATTATAGGGTAAAAGCAGTCGGACAATATGCAAACAAACAGGGGTGGCTATTTTTCTTCTCCTTTCTTTTTTCTTTTTTTTGTTTGAGATGGAGTCTCACTCTGTGGTCCAGGCTGGAGTGCAGTGGCGCCATCTCGGCTCACTGCAACCTCCACCTCCCGGGTTCACGCCATTCTCCTGTCTCAGCCTCCCAAGTAGCTGGGACTACAGGTGCCCGCCACCACGCCTGGATAATTTGTTTTTGTATTTTTAGTAGAGAGAGGTTTTCGTCATGTTAGCCAGGATGGTCTTGATCTTGACCTCATGATCCGCCCACTTCAGCCTCCCAAAGTGCTGGGATTACAAGCGTGAGCCATGGCGCCAGGCCGGGTGTAGGTAGTTTTCAATAAAACTGTTATTTACAAAAATAGGTGGCAGGCTGAATTTGGCCTAGAGGCCATAGCTTAGCAACTCTTGCTCTAGAGAATGTGCAATAATTCACATTTAACAAGACAATATAAAAGAAATCCAAAGTGAGTTTCCAGTTTCCTTTCTAGTTCTAACAATGTCATCATTCCTAGTTCCTATCCCTTGTTCCTGCTCTACGTTCCTCCAATCCCAATTCTCTCAGGCTGCTGAAGAAAAAGGATTCACTGCCGACCTTTCATACCAGGACACTGCTGTGGGAATGGGCAACAGTCATTCCCATCACTCCCTCCTAGCATTTCCTGCATTGCAGAGATGGCATAAACCACTAGAAGGCAGGCAGTGGGCTGAGTTCTGCTGCCTACCAGCTGTGAGACATGAGACACTTACTCTCTCAGAGGGTCAGTTTCCTCAGCACTAAAAAGGAAATCATACTGACCTCCCAGGATTAATCTGAGGTTAAGGTAATATATATAAAGCCCCTTACATTGTTGTCATCTGCAGCCAGGAGCAGTTCAATAGGCTCATCTAGGCTCTGGCCCTTAGGAGCAGATGAGGCCGCACCACTGCACTTTCTAAAGGCAAGCCTAGAAGGAGATACAGGAAAATACTAACACTGATGGTCTCCTAGAGATTATTTCTCTTCCTTCTGATTTTCCATATTTTTCTAATGTTGTATTATTGAAAATGTACTTCCATAATCTCAGGGGAAAAAAAACCTAAAACTTTAAGATTAAGACAGACCAAGGGGAATCAATGACAGCCATTTTTTATTGGCATGTTTTCCAGAAAAAGATCTTTTTTGATTCTAGATCTTTAGGGATAAAACAGCAGATAAACCATAAATAAACAAGATTAATTCTCAATATCCAAAAAATATCAAAAAGGAACTGGGGAAAGCACTTAACTTTGGGTGGCTGGGGCGGGTGGATCACAAGGTCAGGAGTTAGAGACCAGCCTGGCCAATATGGTGAAACCCCCGAGTATATGAAAAATACAACAATTAGCCAGGCGTAGTGGCAGACACCTGTAGTCCCAGGTACTCGGGAGGCTAACGCAGGAGAATTGCTTGAACCCGGGAGGTGGAGACTACAGTGAGCCCAGATAGCACCACGGCACTCCAGCCTGGGCGACAGAGTGAGATTCTGTCTCAAAAAAAAAAAAAAAAAAAGAACTTAACTTGCCTTGGAATGATTTAAAAAAAAAAATTCATAAGGGGTAGAAAAAGACAAATTCTTGAAAAGAAACACTTACCTGTAGTCTGCCCGGGGGCCTCTGAACTACTAAGCGCAAAATCCCAGCCATAAGTGCAGTGTTTGCTTTCTTTAGAGGCTGTGGGAAGTAGGAAGTAGACCCATGAGTCAACTATGTCCTGGAAATGAACAGGTTTCCCCTTCTCTAGCATTAAAAAACTAAGCAGCAAATTAATTGTAAACTTGACTTAAGTTTAACAGTAAAACATATTGGTTATTTTAATACAATAAGGGCACGAACTAATTTATACATATTTTATTCAACCACAGGTAGTAATTATACACATTAACCACACCCCATTTTCATCAAATGAGTCAGACCTAGATTGATTCCACAAAACTACTATCATTTAAAGTGTCTTCTTCAACAATGAAGGCAGATAAAGAATACTTTGCCACAGAATCACAGAAAATTAAAGAGCCTGAAGGGACTGGAGAAATCTCAACTCCTATTAGAACTGACTGCCCACATCCTTACTTTATGAATGAGGATCATGAATTCCAGAAAGTTCAATGATTTATCCAAGTGCATCCAGTTATCAATAAAGTATGTGGTCTGGAATCCCATTCTCCTAATTTCTAGGCGAGTGCATTTTCACTAAACCGTAACACTTTTCTGTTAAAAAGTAGAATTTGTTTTTGCTGATTTGTATTTTTTTTAACTATTTTCAACGCACACGCACTGCTTCTATAACCTAAAAAGGTCATATTTATTTAATTAGACACAAAACAACTGTAGTCTACTGACTTATACTGAAAGCAGAAAGATTAAGTTCATGAACTACATGTATATGTCGGACAGGTTACTTAATTCGTGCATTACAATTTTTCTCCCAGAAAAGAAAGAAAATAGTCGTCTTGCAAATGAGTTATTCTACAAAGCACCTAAAACAGTACATGGCATGTGGGAAGCCCTCAATAAATGGTAGCTTTTATTATTATTAAATTATTACAAAGCTAATAAGAATGCTCTTAAAAGTATTCTTAAAAGCAGTCCCCAACCTTTTTGATACTAGTTTCATGGAAGACAAGTTTTCCATGGATAGGGAGAGGTGGCAGGGAAGGTTTCAGGATGAAACTGTTCACCTCAGATTATCAGGCATTAGATTCTCACAAGCATGCAACCTAGATCCATTGCATGCACAGTTCACAATAGCGTTCACACTCCTATGAGAATCTAATGCTGGACTGCTCTGACAGGAGGCGGAGCTCAGGTGGTAATGCTCACTCAAACGCAGCTCACCTCCTGCTGTGCCACCTGGTTCCTACCTGGCCAGCAAATGGTCTGGATCTGAGGCCTGGGGTTTGGAGACTTGTGCTCTAACACACTAACATAGGTTAAGTGTTGTAATTCAGTGTCCCGCAGATTCTAGTTCATTCAAGTTCTGCATGTCTTTCCTGTGATGTGGATAAAGCAATGGAACTGTGAGAATCAATGCAAGACGTCTCTTGAAAAGAGCCAGACCTCAGAAACATTCCTCAGCAACTGAACCTGTCTAATGCTAAATTATTTTACCAGACTTCCTCGTATCAAGGTTAGGTATTACTCCAACATATTTAGCTTCACACTTTATAAAAAATCTTTCTGATCACTTAGATCTCAACAAAATCCTAACTGGACTTCTGCTTCCGTTCCAATTCCCCTAATATCTTTTTTGTATATCAGCAATAAATCATCTCATTAAATCTTAGATCATATCGCTCTGCTCAAAAATCTTCCAGAGGGCCAGGATTCTCACTGTCGAAGTGGGAAGTTACACATAAGCAAGAGTGGAAGGCTACAATGATCCTTACATACCTTATACTGTTTAGCTTAATATAGATATTGAGGGATTAGAAATAATAATAGATATGCATACACACATGTGTTGGCTCTGTCAGCTGAGAGGACTTACAGCAATAGCACTCAGTGGCAATGAGCACGCCAGGTGCCCAGATCTTGGCTGCATTCTTTAATAAAACGAACCAGTGCTCCTTTGAGAAATGGCTGATTATGTCTGGAGCACTTTGTAATGCCAGAAAGGAACTACTGGAAAAAACATAATGATGGGGTATGTCAAAGGGACACTGGAGTCAACCAAGCCAAAGCTGGAACAATTTCAGCAACAAAATAAGTAACAAAGTATTACTGGCTTAGAACCCAAACCAAAATAAATAAATAAATAAATAAATAAATAAATAAACAACCAACCAACCCTAAGTTCATACTAATATAAATAAGTGAACAAGTTAATGAGAAAGAACAAATATCCCATTCAGAAGAATTCCAAATAATTCTTCCCTCTCCTGGAATGATCCTGATACTTACATGGCTAATTTCCTTATCTTTTTAATTTTTGGCTCAAATCTCACCTTTTCAATGAGGTCTACCAGATCACATCATTTGACATTTTCACCCATACCCCAACTGTCAACACTCCCAATTCCTCTCTTTTCTTTCTATTGTGCGTATCTTCTAACGTAACTTAATTATCTGTTAGGTTTGTTGTTTGGTGCATATCCATTCAACAGCATGCTAATTCCATAGGAAACGGGTTTTTAGATTTTGTTGTTTTGGGTCTGTTATATTCACAGAAGTATCCCAAGCATCTATGTAAAGTGGTATCTGCCCTATAGCAGGCACACAATATATTTTTTGGCAGAATAACTGAAATTTAAATATGTACAGACTTCTGAAGGTGTGATAGTCAAAAGTTACAAGTTTTTAGAGATAAGAGTCTCCCTAAGTTCCTGGTATTGAACTCAGCCTCAAGCAATCCTCAATTTTCCCAGTAATTGGAGCTAGGTGTCACCACGTTTGACTCAAGGAATACATTTATTTTATTTTATTTTTTTGAGACGGAGTCTCGCTCTGTCGCTCTGGCGCCATGTCGGCTCACTGCAAGCTCCGCCTCCCAGGTTCCCGCCATTCTCCTGCCTCAGCCTTCTGAGTAGCTGGGACCATAGGCGCGCCACCACGCCCGGCTAGTTTTTTGTATTTTTAGTAGAGACGGGGTTTCACCGTGTTAGCCAGGATGGTCTCGATCTCCTGACCTCGTGGTCCTCCTGCCTTGGCCTCCAAAAGTGCTGAGATTACAGCCGTGAGCCACCTCGCCTGGCAAGGAATACGTCTTAATAAAGTAAAAGTTACTGTCTCCTACTGTAAAATAGGAAAATACCAGGCATCACAGAAGTATGATCCCATTTCTATTTTTTTAAATGTCTGTGAACGTGTCTATTTACAGAAAAATTCTGGAAGGTTGTCAGAAAAGCGTTAATATACGCCTGGGGGTATGAAAAAAGGTGTTTTTCCTCCCCCACACCGACCGATAGTTCTTTTGTCTTTTTACAATGACCATGCGTGCAACAGGAACGTTAAAAAGCGATTTTTCTAAACCGTCGATGTATATAATTATTAAAGGGGGAAAAACACTTCTGAAATGTAAAACATAGAATCACTCTTGCAGAGATACCGGAGATCTCTGAAGGCTGGAAGCGTGTGTCTTCTCTGAACCCCTAGTGCCTAACAAGCAGTAGGAAGCCCTCATTACTGCCTCTTGGCAAAAACGGCACAACAAACAGCTTTTGGTAGGTCTCGATCAAAATGGTAACAAATCATAATTTTAATAAAATGGCAAATATTCTATTTTTTTTTTTTTTTAAGAAGAAGTCTCGCTCTGTCACCCAGGCTGGACTGCAGTGGCATGATCTCGGCTCACTGCAAGCTCCACCTCCCGGGTTCACGAAAATGGCAAATATTCTAACTGCCAACTCTGGGATGTTTGCATTATAAAATGAAGCAATACAAAAATAAAGACAATTTTCTATCTTCATTAAAAAAAAAAAAAGCAACCCTAATCCCCAATGGCAATAAAGCAGCAACACAGAAAATGCTGCTTGGGTTCCCTTTCCCAAGCTGTCCAGCCTCGGCGGCTCCGTCCTCGAGCTCCAGAGTCTGGGCCCAAAAAGCCGCGTGGCCCTGGATCCCGCGAATTGGGAAACGGGGGGATCCTGCAGGCCAATGGCCTTACGGGAGCCAATGTGACGGGATCAGGCGCAGACCCATTTAGGTTGCCGTAACCTGCCAACTCAGAACGCAATAGGGAAAATCATTAGGATCTGCAGAGGGTTCCCGGATACACCTTGCGAAGAATGCCGCACTCTCGGCCACTCATTCCCCACTCACCAGCACCCGCTAAACGTACAGCCCGAACTTTTCCACCGAAGGGAAGCGGAACAGAGGAAGAGCCACCAAGTGCCACACTCAAAGCCTGCCGTCGCAGTGAGCGCGACCTGCACACTAGGGCATTTTTGTTCCGACGAAATCCCTCCCCCTGAGGCAAGTCCCTAGAAAGAGAGCGCAGGCGCCTGGGTGTCACATGACCGCTTCCCGGAAGCGCAGCAGACCCGCTTCACTTCAGCCTGGGTTGAGGTGGAGGACAATTCCCGGAATTATGGCGAAGTCCGGGCTGGGGCAGGATCCTCAGAGCACAGCTGCAGCCACTGTGCTCAAGCGGGCGGTAGAACTAGATTCGGAGTCGCGGTATCCGCAGGCTCTGGTGTGTTACCAAGAGGGAATTGATCTGCTCCTGCAGGTTCTGAAAGGTGAGCAATGAGGCAAGGCGGGGAGGACCTGAGGAAAAGGAACTGGTTCCTGCTGTGTCTGGGGTGAAGTGAATGAGTTAAAAACGATTCTTCCACACCACGAAGAAGCAGTTTAATACAGAAGGTGGGATATTCCACAGGACACCTGGGCCGCTTTCCTTTAGATCTTTAGTAGATTGATGTCATCTAGAAAAGGTGGGGAGGCTACTAGTCTAGATTTTAAAAGACTTAAGAGATATAACCCAGTGTAATATATAAGCTTTGATAGGACCTGGGTTTGTACGAACTTTGAAAGACATTTTTGGATCTAGTAGAAAAGTTTGAATATAGATTGGGTGACATTAAAATTATTCTCTTAGGCAATATGATTTTTTTTCCCGAAAACTATCCTAAATATTTAGAGATGCAGACCAAAGTGTTTTAGAAAGAGATGCTATGATGTCTTAGTTAATTTTCCTTAAGCAAAAATTTTTTAAAAATCGAAGCTCTATTTGAGCAAAAATGCTAATTTAAAAAATCTAGGTGATGGGTAATAAGGGTGTTTATTATACGATTATTTTTAATTTTCTGTTTAAACATTTGCATTTAAAGCAAGCCAAAGTAAAATTATATAGCGGCAGAAGAAACGTTTTTCTTAAACGGATGAAGTGCGGTGTGAGAAATGCCCAGGGTTGTGGAGGGGACAGTGAGACTTTTCCTATTACTTAGTTATTCAATGTTGAGAAATACCCAAATATTCCTTAACACCCAGCACAACCCTGGCTCACAGTAGACACTTAATATTTATGTATTAAATTGATAAGATCAACTCCTACTCCCCAACCCACTGACACTCCCGGTCTGAACTAAGCTCCCTCTGTGCTTTCTAGTTTAAGCTTCTTATAATTAAAGTGTTACCGAAGCTTTGAGGCAGCAGAGGGAAGCCCTTCATGGTTTGGGCTTTGGTCAGAACTATAAACTCTACCTTGCCTGGGGCATTATTTGATGATAATGATGACAGTGACAACAGCACTAAGCGTAGCTATCACGTTTCAGTGCTGAGTGCCAGGCATTGCAGAGAACATTAAAAGTATGATCTCGTTTCATCTGTACCAATTGCCCTATCAAGTAGGAGTTGATGGTGTTCTCGCTTTACAGCATAAAAAATATTGTTCGCTTTCAAGTTCTGCCACTAGGAGGTGGTAGAGTCACAGTCAGAGCCTAAGGCCTGTGTATACTGAATCCCAGAAGAGAGACGGTGTACTGTGTTGGTCAGGTGGAACACTGCTCAAGTTTTGGCTGCACCAGGAATCTGAAGCGGGAGAATCACAGTTCTTCTCTAGTGTGCTTCACTGATCCCGTAGAGGTTACATGTAACATGACACAGATGGGTTAAGACCAAAATGCAAATAGCGCTAATACAGGCAATAAGTGCCAGGAGAGAGATACCTATAGATAGGCACAATGAGGATTTCAACAGTTAAAGGTCATGGGAGGGTGGAAAGGTAGAGGTGGAGTTTGATGGGGGCTTTGGAGGAAAAAGAATTTCAGAAGTCAGAAATTCATCTAAGAGTCTTCAAATTCCTGTGCTGTCTTACCAAATAAGTAGTTTGGTTGAGCACGTGTCTGAAGAGGAGGAGTGAGAAGTTAAGTTTAAAGGTAGATAGGGGCTTGGATCACATTGTGAATGCCTTGACTACCAGGAGATTCTAACTCATTCCACAGGCAAGGAGAAACCATTTAAGGTTTTTACAAAGGAGTAACATAATTGGAGTTGCATTTCAGGGCTTGTCTCTTTCAGGAATATGCTGTTTTCTCACAGATACTTATTTGCATGGCACACTCTCTCCTATTCCAGGCCTTTACACAAATATCACCTTCTTTGTGAGGCTTTCCCAGACCTCCAGTGTAAAATTATAACCCCATCCCAGCACTCCCTGTCCTCCATTATTTTATTTGATAGCACTTATCTCAATCTAATATACATGTTTTACCAACTTATTTTTATTGTTCTCTTTCTTCCTACTTGAACAATAGAGGAGAATTGTGTCTGTTGTATTAACTGCTGTATCCACAGCACTTAGAACAGTGCCTGGCATGTCGTTAGTTCTCAATAAATATTTCTTGAATAAAGGACTGAATATGGCAAGGATGTAAAGTAGATATTAACCTGTAGAGACTGAAGTTAAGCAGACCAATTAAGGAGCTCCTGCTGGAATCAAAATAAGAGGTGAGTATAGCCATTATAGAAAACAGTATGGAGATTCCTCAAAAAATTAAAAAGAGAACTACCATATGATCCATCAATCCCATTACTGGGTATACATCCAAAGGAAATGAAATCATTATGTTGAAGAGATATTTGTACTCCCATGCTTACTGCAGCACTATTCATAATAGCCAAGATAGGGAATCAATCCAAGTGTCTATCAGCAGATGAATAGATAAAGAAAATGTGGTACATATATACAGTGGAGTACTGTTCAGCCATAAAAATTGAAATCCTGTCATTTGTGACATGGACAAACTTGTAGGAAATTGTTAAGTGAAATTAGCCAGACACAGAAGGACAAATACCACATGATCTCACTCATATGTGGAATCTGAAAAAGTTGATGTAGAAGTAGAGAGTAGAATAGTGGTTACCAGAAGCTGGGAAGGGCAGGGGGTAGGAGGAATGGGGAGAGGTTGGTCAAAGGGTACAAAATTACAGTTAGATGCCAGGCACAGTGGCTCATGCCTGTAATCCCAGTACTTTGGGAGGCCGAGGTGGGCAGATCACTTGAGGTCAGGAGTTCGAGACCAGCCTCGCCAACACGGTGAAACCCTGTCTCTCTTAAAAGAAAAAAAAATACAGTTAAATAAGAGGAATAAATTCCTGTGTCTTATTACACAATAGGGTGACTATAGTTAATAATGTATTGTATGTTTCAACATAGCTAGAATGAAGGATTTTCAAGGTTCTTACCACAAAGAAACTAAATATTTGAGATGACAGATAGGCTAATTACCCTGATTTGATCATTACCTTTACCAAGTGGTCAAAGTTAATATCATCAGTAGTAAGACACATAAACATCACGTACCTACCAAGCAAGGTACATCACTTCTGTGATTGTCTTGCCAAAAAATGCATAAACCAAGTCTAATCATGAGAAAACATCAGACCGTCCAAAACGAGAGACATTCTGCAAAAATAACTGACCGATGTTATTCCTAAATGTCAAGGTCATAGAAGGCAGAGAAAGATTAAGGAACTAACACAGATTGGAGGAGACTAAGGGCACATAACTAAATACAATATGGGATCCGGACCAGAAAACACTTTCATTAGTGGAAAAATTGGTGAAATTCAAATAAGGTTTGTAGATGAGTTCACAGTATTGTTTCAGCGTTAATTTCCTAGCTCTGATATTTGTAGTATGGCTTGTAATATGTTAACATTAGGAGAATCCAGGTGAAGGAGCTATCTGTACCATTTTTGCAACTTTTCTGTAAATATAAAATTAACTCAAAATGTTTTTTAAAATGAGAGATTAAAATGAAATTATTGGCTGGGCACTGTGGCTCACGCCTGTAATCCCAGCACTTTAGGAGGCTGAGGCGGGTGGATCACCTGAGGTCAGGAGTCGGAGACCAGCCTGACCAAAACATGGTGAAACCCCATCTCTACTAAAAATACAAAAACTGGACAGGCATGGTGGTGGGTGCCTGTAGTCCCAGCTACTCAGGAGGCTAAGAGGAGAATTGCTGGAACCGGGAGGTGGAGGCTGCAGACAGCCGAGATCGTCCCACTGCACTGCAGCCTGGGCGACAGAACGAGACTCCGTCTCAAAATAAACAAAAAATGAAATTATTATGGAAAATATAAGCGATGTTGCAAGGAAAGAAGGGAAGGAACAAGAAGTGATTTGTTGACTGATTTGGGAGGATGGGTGCTTGGAGTAAAACTTTATGATCATGTATATTCAAAAATAACATTTTTGTGGTAGCTGGAAAAATGTGTATTATATAATGGGGAGGTCTGGAAGAGTAGCTGGTTTTGTGGAAGATAAATATTTTTTGCTATCTTTTAATTATGCAGAAACTTCAAACTTGTGGGTAATTAGGATAAAATAGTGCTCAGACATGAGTTTGACACGTAATGAGCCACCTTTCATCCCACCAGATTTGGTGTCCTAGAGATGAGACATAGTGTCAAGCGTTCCCACTCCCAAATCAAGCTGCATCACACGTTTCGTGTAAATATGAAGGTCTTGGATGTTCAAGCCAAATTTGAGCTTATCGTGTGTATTTGAGGACTGAGGCAAATCATACTAAAGGATAGGATATTTGTAGACAACTGGAGAAACTGAAAACAATGCCCAAATTAAATAGAAAAATTGTTTTGATACTTGCTAAGATATATATTTTTAAATTTGTAGGTACCAAAGATAATACTAAGAGATGTAATCTCAGAGAAAAAATTTCCAAATACATGGACAGAGCGGAAAACATAAAGGAGCACTTGGAGCAAGAAAAAGAAGGTAAAGAGGCTGTTTTAGAAAACACATCCGTAAACGACTACGATCGTCCATTCACCCAGTGTTCCTGGCTCCTGCCCTTTGGAGCTCTGTGTGGTCTGGACCAGTTGTCCCTGGGAGCTTACAGGATTTAATCTGCATTTCCACTCCCATATAGGAGTTGTTCTTAATTGTTTGGTTTTTTTTTTTAGTTGGGGGTGGGAATGTCAGACATCCCTTTGACCTTTGAACATCCGATGAAAGCTACACATACTGGAGAATGTTACATGCCATTTTTAGGGGGTTCACAAATCCCTACGAAGCTTATGTGTGGACTCTATGTTAAGAAATACTACAGAGGAATACCGAATGTAAATTGTGTATTTTATTTATATTTCCCTTTATGAAATGACCAAAATCATGAAAGAAGCTAAAGAAACTCCTAGGATTTCCCTCAGATTTTGTTGTGAATCAAAACAGCTCAGGAGTTAAGCATTCCTAATGATTAGACGTCAGGTAGGTATTGTTCCCCATTGATCATTAGTTCCCTACTCCTAAGCATCCAGTTTACAAATGTCTGTAAATGGCCATTTCCACCCTTACCTGAGTGCATACTTGCTGCTTTCTATAGCCAAAGGTACTGCTGCCCTGAAAAGCCAGTGCCCCCAGGCCCCAGCTTTTCTTCCTCTCTATGCTTTCTACACCCCTTTCCCCATCTCTTCCTACTATTCTGTATCAGTACATACCCTGGGGATGCCCCACTGAGCTCCTTTGTTCAGTACGAATACAATTGTGTTTCCTTCACCCCAATTTGAAATTTAGAATGAAATTTTACTCCAAAACATTAATGAAATACAGTACCTTCAGCATTGTGGTTTTGAGTACATGGAATTAAATTAACCTCTATGTGGCTATCTTGGCTTAAAAAACGAGGCATAGTTGCCAACGTTATCTCTGTGGAAATATTTGGAACAGAATCCAAACTACTGATTTTTAAACAAAGTGTAAAGTATAATTTAGGGGCTACCATATAATTTAGGGACTAGCATTAGGGGTCATTTTTTTTTTTTTTTTTTTTGAGATGGAGTCTCGCTCTGTTGCCCAGGCTGGAGAGCAGCAGCACGATCTCGGCTCATTGCAACCTCTGCCTCCTGGGTTCAAGCAATTCTTCTGTCTCAGCCTCCCGAGTAGCTGGGACTACAGGCACCCGCCACCACGCCTGGCTCATTTTTGTATTTTTAGTAGAGTCGAGGTTTTGCCATATTGATCAGGCTGGTCTCTAACTCCTGACCTCAGGTGATCCTCCCACCTCGGCCTCCCAAAGTGCTGAGTTTACAAGTGTGAGCCACTGCGCCCAGCCAGGGGTCATATTTTTTTTAAAACCTTAAAGGTTTCTGATAACTTCAATGTTCATTTTGAATTAACAAAAGCAATAGATCTATCTAATTGATCCTGTGACATCCCCGTCTTTAGCTTGGGTTATTAAGAAGTACTGTAAATTTCTGTTTAAAATTCTACACGTGCCAAGAAAGACTTCAAAGCTCCATATTATACTGTATTCATGTTTTTTCTTTTTTCTTTTTTTTTTCAGGCAGAGTCTTGCTCTGTTGCCTAGGCTGGAGTGCAGTGGTGCGATCTCAGCTCACTGTAACCTCCACCTCCTGGGTTCAAGTGATTCTCCTGCCTCAGCCTCCCAAGTAGTTGGGACTACAGGCGCCTGACATCACGCCTGGCTACTTTTTATAATTTTAGTAGAGGCAGGGTTTCACCATGTTGGCCAGGCTGGTCTCGAACTCTCCTGACCTCAAATGATCTACCTACCTCGGCTTCCCAAAATGCTGGGATTACAGGTGTGAGCCACCGCATCCTGCCCTGCATTCATGTTTAATACTCACTTTAGTTATTAGATTACAAGACATAAAAAGACAAGTCTGAAGAGAAGGACCAGAGAGCCACTGAGTTATAGTATGTGGTGCTACCCATGGTGACAGGAAGTTATTGGATACCTTTATACATACACTACTCCCTTCAGCAAACTGCCTGGTCTATAGGATCCGGCTCAAGAACTTGTTCCAGGAAACCTCTGGATTTTCCCCCTTGCCTAGCCTCTGTGAAGGCAGAAATCACTAATGTAATGGTTTGCCTTAAATACGTTTGTGTGTGTAACATCCTGCAATGTGTATGATATTTAGTAGGCATTCAATAAGTATTTGCTGAATAAGTGAAAAAAATTAATGTGTATCTGATGCTGATTAATCACTATATATAAAATATAAAATGTGTAAAAAAAAAATGGTCACTGGTTTTACTGTTGAAGCCTGTGTTTTATAGATGGAAAATATCACAAGCAAATTAAAATAGAAGAGAATGCAACAGGTTTTAGTTATGAGTCACTTTTTCGCGAATATCTTAATGAGACAGTTACAGAAGTTTGGATAGAAGATCCTTATATCAGACATACTCATCAGGTATGTGAACGTACTAAAATATAATGAAATATTATATTCAATGCACTAAGTTAGTAATAATCCATTCTAATGTCTTTTAGCTGTATAACTTTCTTCGATTTTGTGAGATGCTTATTAAGAGGCCATGTAAAGTAAAAACTATTCACCTTCTCACCTCTCTGGATGAAGTAGGTACCTGAAAACACTTACTCTTTCTTAACTTATTAACTTTATTCAGTTACAAGATGGAGTCCCGTCAAGGAAAACACAGATGCAGTGCTTCACCTAGATTTATTTCCTTGGGAATTAACTTATTATCTAACAGCATGCATAGCATGTCATGAAAAAATGTTACTGATTTTAGGATGCTGATTTTGTATTTGGCCACTTTGCTAAATGCGCTTATTCAAATAGTTTGTTAGTTTAGTCTCTTGGATATTCCAGGAGGCAATCACACTGTCTGCACTATGGACAATTTTGTTTCTTTACCAATTATTGTATCTGGGGGTTGGTAGCATGATGTGGTAGTGGGCATCTCTATCTTGACTTTGACTTAAAATAGGAATGCTTCTAAATAATTATGACTTCTACGATTGATTTCAAAAGAAGTCAGCTCCACCTGGATGACTAAAACTATTCCAAACTACATTTAAGGAGACAGGATGGAGTTATGTACACATTAGAAAAGAAAATTATTTTGATAAAAACAATTGCTCTTTAAACTACCTCACATTGTTTAGTTGCTTCTTTGAGATAGTAGGCATTGAAACGAGTATAGAACATTTCCATCTTAATCCACCTATGATATAGATTGTATAGCTTAGGGATAGTTTAAGATAACAATAATAACTGAGGCAGATAATCGTATTTTTGCAATTAACAGGGCACTGAGCAAGTGCAGCAAAGTAGGGGCCTGCAAGAAATAGAAGAGTCACTCAGGAGCCATGGAGTGCTGTTGGAAGTGCAGTACTCTTCTTCAATACATGACCGAGAAATTAGGTCAGTCTACAATAATGTTGTAATTTTCATGCAGTCCATATATACTTTAAAAAATTTTTAAATGTTTTATATAATTGCATATATTTAATATTTATTTATAAATATTTAAAATTCAACAAAAACTCCATTTAGTAATTTTTCACTTCTGAGAAGGAAAAAAACACTTGGCTTACTTTTGGACAAAGTAAGCCAAGTGTTTTGTGTGTGAGTTTAATATTTCCTAATGGAGTAATATTTACATATTCTGTGTCATAGAGAAAAAGAGAATACTTTTCTGTCTACTCAACTGTATATATCGTGTTATGATATTAGGATAATTTATTTTCTAGTGAACTTAATATTTACTTACTGTGGCTTTACTTCTTATGGGTTATTAAATTATTCTAGTAGGCATGACAATTTGCTGAGTCTATAAGAAAACAGAATATGCGGTTATTTTAGTGATATCTTACTTTTGTTTAGCACAGTGGTTATATGTTTATAGCAAGGGCACTCAGTTTTAATAAAAACTTAATCACAAACTAAATATGCAAAACAGATGAAAATGCAGCTGCTGTAGTTAAAGCAGAGGTCAGGGCCCTGGGCTCCTCCTGCACATTCCCCATCTCTAGGTAGGGGAACTCTTGAAACACCACCAGTTGCCCTGAATACACTTTGCCACCACTTGTTAGCAGAACACGAAAAAGTTTTATCAACAAGCTGAAATTCAAGGTTAAACTATCAGATAATTAAATCAATTGATTGTTTCTATGACTGTTTTCATTGTGGACACAGCTCATAACGAACCCCAGGTTTGATTCAACTCAAGCCACTGGAGGAAGTGGTTTGCTTTGTTAGGGGGAAATTTTGCTGACACTTAATGCACTACAGCTTTATTAATAGTCTGACTTTAATGTCTTGAATATAATACTATATACTAATTTCAACAGGTTCAACAATGGATGGATGATTAAGATTGGAAGGGGACTTGATTATTTTAAGAAACCACAGGTAGGATATAATCTTATGAGTAAATGTGTAGCACTGTTTTTGTATCATTTTTAATGATACTCTTTTCTTCTCTTCTTAGAGTCGTTTTTCTCTTGGATATTGTGATTTTGATTTAAGACCATGTCATGAAACAACAGTGGACATTTTTCATAAGAAACATACAAAAAATATATGATGGGCAGTAGCCTAATTTGTATTATGTCTACTTTAGGTGAATATTGGATTTTTTTTAAAAGATCACTTTTATAATGTATGAATTTAACAATAAACTTTTATATTTCTACTAATTTATGGATCCATCATTCGGTTGTGGGAACAATCCTAAATATTTTTGTAAATATATTACTCAGTAGATTTACAACGTTTCTTTCAAGTAATACAGCTAATTTAAACATGTTACCAGCTTTTCTGTTACTTGGCTGCGGGAGCATGTCAACAAATAATGAGCCTCTATCAGGAAGATGAATTAGATCTTAATTTTGCCTGTGGGAGTTTCGAGTGCAGGAGGGAAAGACACCATGGATTACAGTGCTTTTAAAGAGACAGATGGAGCTTGGGCAACCTGTTTCTGCGGGGGAAAAAAAAAAAAAGCCGGGCATGGTGGCACGTGCCTATAGTCCTAGCTACTTGGAGGCTGAGGTGAAAGGATCACTTGAGCTTAGGAGGTCGAGGCTGCAGTGAGCTGAGAATGCACCACTGCACTCTAGCCTGGGTGACAGAGCCAGACCCTGTCTCAAAAAAGAAAAAAAAAAAAAAAGAAGACAGATGGACTTGGGGTCTAATAAACAGGAAAGTAAAATGTTAATTTTGTTACAATTAAGATAATTGTCGCCGGGCGCGGTGGCTCAAGCCTGTAATCCCAGCACTTTGGGAGGCCGAGACGGGCGGATCACGAGGTCAGGAGATCGAGACCATCCTGGCTAACACGGTGAAACCCTGTCTCTACTAAAAAATACAAAAAACTAGCTGGGCGAGGTGGCGGGCACCTGTAGTCCCAGCTACTCGGGAGGCTGAGGCAGGAGAATGGCGTAAACCCGGGAGGCGGAGCTTGCAGTGAGCTGAGATCTGGCCACGGCACTCCAGCCTGGGCGACAGAGCAAGACTCCGTCTCAAAAAAAAAAAAAAAAAAGATAATTGTCTTTGGTAAACGTTTACCATCATGCAGTTGTGCAATATTACCTAACTCCATACAGGCAAATCAACCCATTCAGTTATCCAAATGCATTTTGCAGCTTACTCACTTTGGCTGGCACATTTGTGAAGCCTTGCAGCTTAGAATCAACTGTTCTGGGGAAGCTTTTCATCCAGATGCCAGTTGTGTGGTTGGAGACAGAATAGATTCCATGGAGACAGGCTGGAAGAGGGGTTGTATGCTAGAGGTAGTGAGTAGTCCACAGCTCAAAGAACATGCTGGCTGGGCACAGTGGCTCACGCCTGTAATCTCAGCACTTTGGGAGGTGGACGCAGGCGGATCACCTAAGTCAGGAGTTTGAGACCAGCCTGACTAACATGGAGAAACCCTGTCTTTACTAAAAATACAAAATTAGCTGGCCGTGGTGGCGCATGCCTGTAATTCCAACTACTCGGGAGGCTGAGGCAGGAGAATTGCTTGAACCCTGGAGGCGGAGGCTGCAGTGAGCGGAGATTGTGCCATTGCACTCCAACCTGGGCAACAAGAGTAAAACTCCATCTCAAAATAAACAAACAAAAAAACCCAGCTAAGCTAACATATGTACGAGGAAAACTATAGTACCAGTGTTCAGTATTGGAGAGTGCACATACAAATGTCACATCTGAGGACTATACAGAGTTAAATGGTGTAGAGGACCAAAGGTAGAGACATGGGAACAAGGTTGGACAGAGTGGTCTTGGGCAAGCCTTGGAGACTATGGTTTCCTGTTGTGGGACAGCTGGTAGGTACAAGATGGCATAAAAGGCCAGGAAGGGCTTCCAGAACAGTTCCTGATTTTTTTTTAATGTTTTCAGGTTCAGGTGCTGATAATACTGAATCTGAAAAATTTTAGACTCAAACTAATTTGCTAGGCTTTATCATATGGAAATTCAGGGTCTCAGGAAAACACCTGAACAAGTGTTGGCCTGATCCGAAGTTCCTTTCTGCAGAGTATCTTAGTTTATCTTGCCTGGTACCTGATGCCATGTGGAAATGGAGTAGCTCTTAATTAAGATAAGAACATGTGTTAGGCCTCTTTACCTTCATGTTAAAATAACAATTCCGATTTCTAAAGCATATCCATCTGTTACTATGGAGAATTAGCAATCCACAACCCTGTGCAATTAACTTTTATCCAACTGCTGTAAAAATCCTGGCTAAGACGTAGTGATGTTTAAAGAAAAGAGTCTACAGACATGCTATCCATTCTAGATATTTGGCGTTCTATCCCAAGATCTAATTAGGGCACCAGAAGCCTACCAGCTACAGCTTAAATATATCAGGAAATGTATAAGAACTATGTGAACAGCTGTAAGCGTTACGGAAGGATATAAAAGAAAATTAGGGGACAATTTTCTTTTATCCCTCTATTTCTTTCAAATTAGAAAGACAAATTGTACTCCTGAATGGGAAGACTTAATGTCAGTTCTCTCTAACTTAATTTAAAAATTAAATAACAAAAGAGTAACACCAGGAGACTTGCTTGACCAGCTATAAAGACATAGCTACAATAATTTTCTTAAAAATGTATGGGCATAGGCACGGGCAAATAAATCAGTGGGACAGAATAAAAGAGTCCAGAAACACATTTGAAAGAGAGAAATTGAATGTATATAAATGAGTATTTAATATATAGTAAAGGTGACATTTTGAGTTAGTGGAGAAAGAACTCAACAAATGGTTGGAAAAAATAACATTAAGGCCTCTGTCTTACTCCGCATAAAGAAATTTTTCTATAATGACGTTGACATCATATAAAGAAATAATTCTAAATGTATTACAGAGCTAATTAATGAAAAATGTATATACATATATTTTAAAACCCCACTTAATGAACCGAGTATAACAGAAAGCCCCCGAACTGTTAAGAGCAAAAGACTTGGTCATGTCAATATACAAAACTTGAGTAAAAAGGAAACATAAACTAAGTTAAAAAAAAAATGAGAGATCAAATTTATAAAATTATAAAGAGTCAGTATTCCTAATATATAAGGATGATGGCCAGATTTTTGGCAGTGACCTTGACCTGACCTCCTTTAGCCTCCACAAGGACTTGGGCCTTAGAGCAGCCTCTCCTGCTGTACTGCATCGTTCCTATCAGTACACACATCTCGAGCCAGATGCCACCCTATTTTTTCGTTCTTCATGAAAAACTTCTTGAAAGAGTGCTCTCTGTTTTGTTTTGTTTTGTTTTCTTATTTCCTCACCACCTATTCACTTTAACTCACTTCAGTCTGGCTACTGCCCCAATTACTCCACTGAGATCGTTTTTGCTAAGGTCAACAGTGATCTCTCTACCACCATATTCAATGGGCATTTTTAAACTCTCGTATCATGTGACCTTTCGGAAGCACTTGACCCAGTTGGCTACTCCCTTCTTGAAACTCTTGACTTTCATGAAACATACTTTCTTCCTCCATTCTTCTTATATTTTAAATACTGAAGTTCTCCCAAGCTACGTACTAGGTAGTAACCTTTTTTTTTTTTAATTCACACTGTTTCCCTGATTACACAGTAAGTGTTCTTAGTAAAAAGCAATGAAAACTGCTCCTACCTGATATAAGCAAAAAAGGGGTTTATTACAAGAAGAGTAGGTAGTTAAGCTATAGACTGAGACATAGAGGTTTTGGAGTGAAAAATCACATCTAGAATCACTACCCAGAACTAATCAGATGACACTCCTGCTGACACTGATGCAAGGGCTGGATGCTGTAGCCTCCATCACTGACATCACTGGCATGGAGACTACCACTGCCAGCCTCACTGCCTTCATCACCCCAGAAATTCAGGCCCCTGTCGCTGCTTCCAGAGAAGGGTTCTCATCATTCCAGATGTTCTGCATCACTACTGTCTAATTCAAAGTATGGAGCAGTTGCATCTGATTGGCACAGCTTAAGTCATGTGCCCACGCCTGTGCTTCGAGGAAGGCCAGGAAACAGTATAGTGAACTTTTGTTTCCACAGAAGGAAGTAGGCTCTACCTCCTACGAGGTGGAGAGGTCCCCAAACATGTAAGGGGACTCAGATGCTGAATATTTAATAGTTTAAAATTTAAACTTTAGATGAATTATAAAAGTCCAAAATCATTCTCATGACTTGAAGTACTATGTATATGCCGTTAGCCCTCAAATTTATAAATTAAGCCAAGACTTCTCCTTGCAGTTCTTATTCAACTGCCTATGACATCTCAGAAGCACACAAACATTTCACACATAATACACCCCAACCAAACTTTTCATATATACTCCCCTACTCCCCACGTATACTCCCATCCATCCAATCTCAAATAAGAAATTTAGGAGTAAAGGCCAGGTACAGTGGCTCATACCTGTAATCTCAGGACTCTGGGAGGCTGAGGCAGGCAGATCACCTGAGGTCAGGAGTTCAAGAACAGCCTGGCCAACATAGCGAAACCTGTCTCCACTCAAAATATAAAAATTAGCCAGGCGTGGTTGTGCAGCTACTTGGGAGGCTGAGGCAGGAGGATCACTTGAACCCAGGAGGCAGAGGTTGCGGTGAACTGAGATCATACCTCTGCACTCCAGCCTAGGTGACAGAATAAGACCCTGTCTCAAAAAAATAAGACCATATATATATATATATGCCATTCTGACTCCTCGCTCATGCCCATATGCAAACATTCAGAAAGTTCTGGGGAAACCACTGCAAAACATATCTTGAGTCCATCGGTTTCAGGGGTTACTTGGCCAGATTTCCAATTTGGAACTCGAAGCCCTTAACACCCTTTGCCTGATGATATCGTCTCTCTGGAGAAACAAATGGTATTACTGCACCAAAGCACATCATATCAGGATTTTTCACCTTTCTCAAAAAATAATTTTCACATGTGGCAACAAGTGCGATACACTCATGAGTAATCTCTTCAATGTTGTGTTTACCTGGTATTTCATATTGCTTTTACATAACAAAAGGACCTGCCCATTAAACCTGCTAAACTGCCAATCATGTTTGTCCCAAGAACACCTTGAAAAATACTCACTCACCCCCACTCTGAGATAATCAGTTGTTGGCAAAACCCTGTGTCCATGCCTGCTCTTCCTAAAAATAAAAAAAGGATGGGGCCTGGAACGACTGAGATATATTAAAAGAAAATAAC